TATTTTTATTTGAAAATTTTTATTTAATTTAAGAAATATTAAATTTAATTTTAAATATTTAAAAATTAAAATGAGTTAATGATAATATGTACATAAGAGTATATGTGCAATACTCATAGAGTAAAGCACTTATAGTATTTTACTCTAAAATTTATTGATATTTCAATTGTTCTTTCATTACATTGAATATAGTTTTAGCAAATAAAATTTCAAGTCGTCCGATCGTCAATTCCTTTGTTATTAATTCGAGACTCCTGGCCTAGTCCTGACAATTTGATCTTTTGTTTAATATCATGAAATTTTCAATCATATTTTAAGTATTTGATTTGAGTCCATTTGAATTTGGATTGGATCAGATCATTTTTGCTCCCATTTTTTCAAGGCATTATAGTTTGATTATAAATTTACTAAAATTAGAATTAGAATGTTCTACATTTCATTTTAAATTTTCTTAATTTGAATATAAATTTACTACCCATCCATGATCTTTTATATGATTCACCGAATATATCAAATATTAAAATTTATTCGATTTAATAAGTATCTCATCTAATTTTCTTTGCAAAATAGTAAGACTTTTGCTTCTCCAAACAGTAAATAATAACAAGTTTACTTTCACATCACAACATAGGGGAAATTTTTAAAAGGAGCAAAGTTAATAAATATATTAGGATTAGGAGCATGAAATTAATTAAATTTAAAAAGGAGCAGAAATGCGATCATGCATTACGTTTTCTAAAGAAAACGCAAAGGAGGATCGCATTTTTTGAAGAAAATGCGATCCTCCTTTGTGTTTTCCATATTTGTAAGAAAATGCAAAGATGCATTCCGTTTTCTTCATAACAGAAGAGGGATTAAATAATAGTGATTATTATAATTTTTCTTTACTTTATTAAAACTATAATAATCATTTCTTTTTGCTGCTTAGAGAACTAAGAAGCCTCACATGAGGCGTGAGCTTGCTGAACGAATAATCTAAGTGTGAGACTTTGGCTTCTTTTGAGATTTGAGATGTTGAATATATAAAAATTATATTTGATTTAGTGTAGAAAAATATAATTACTAAAAGTATGCGTTATAAGTAAAAGTTAATATTTAAAAATTATATAAATTTATAAAATATAGTTTCTACATAAATATGATATAGTCTCTACTTTTCTTAACATATTATTTTTCATACATAAATATTATAAAATGCAATCCACGTGTGCGTTTGTAAGAAAATGCAATCCATTGTTACATATTCTGCAGTAAGAATCGTACACGACCTTGGAGCTGAGTTTGTGTGGGACAACATCTGAAATTGATCATATATTCTTATTGTATTAGTTGCCAGTCTCTTCCATTTAGAAATTCCTTAGGTTTACCTTGTTCAGAAGATTGCAACAACTTTTTATAACACTTTAATAGCAATTTATCATTATCATGATACCACTTACAGTATAGAGTACAATGGTCTATGTCAAGCATCGATTTTCCCATTCCCTATTCAATTGTACCATCTTTATCACAACCAAGTTCAAGAATTCAACCCTTCAGAAAATCTATTGATACAACGTGATTGGAATGATCGCAGAATCTTTGTTGTAGAATTGTCCAACTCACGTTTCGTAGTTCAAAGCCAACTCGATATGCCTTAATTTTTTCACGTCTTCATGCTCATGCCACAATATGCAATCATCGTCTTCCCCCCAACTATGCAAAACACATCTATATAGTTCATTTGATGCCACCTTGGCTTCGAGGATCTCATCAGTTGGAGAAGATAAACTTTCACGCAAACGACTAACTCCCTCTGCCATCTTTTCTTTGGTTCCATCACTTACGTAGCCATCCCTCTGCAATCTATTGAAAACGGAATGCATCTTTGCATTTTCTTACAGCTTTGCGTTTTGTATGGAAAACGCAAACCAGGATTGCATTTTCTTCAGAAAATGTGATACTGCTTTGCGTTTTCTTCAGAAATGCAATCCTGCTTTGCGTTTTCTTCAGAAAACGCAATACAACATTTCTGCTCCTTCTTAAATTTAATAAATTTTATACTTCTAATCCTAATACATTTATTAACTTTGCTCCTTTTAAAAATTTCGCCCATAACATATCGCCATAGGAACGCACAACCGACAAAACAAAGCATGTGACCTGCCCTTTCCTTGTTCGCTTTCCACTTCAGCACCTGATAGCGAACCTGCACTCTTTCCACATACATTAAATTGGTCATCCACAAATGACGTCAGCATCGCCATTCGCCAAACAAAGTTGCCCTTATCTCTTCGAAACAGGCAAAGGGAGGTGCACGCTACTCGTTGTGTGGCTAATGTGGTGTGTAGCCAAGCCTGCAGCGATTAAAGGTTCTCTGAACAGTTACAAAGGCGACGGCGGCGGCAGCGGGATTCATGGTGGTGGCCCGTATTTAGTTGGGTTGTCCCTCTCCTAATTTTCCATTTCGATTTGGTCGGCAAAATTAAGTACGAACTGTCATTTTTACGACAAAATTTAATTAAATACGATGAATTAGAAGTAGGGGTGTTAATATTTGACCCGATTAAAAAATTTGATCTGTTTCGATTTGGTCGACTAAATAAGTAGAGATGTTTTCTATGTTTCTTTATTTTTTTACATATTATTATTAACTAATTCCTATTTTGGTCGACTAAATTAAATATATCATGCTCCTATTTATTGTTTGCTTTGTTTCTTTATTTTTTTTTCGAATTTGGTCTACAAATTTTCTACATCGTAAGTTTCATTGTTAGTTCGATGTCCACATTACGTATTTATTTATAGGGATTGCAGTGATGGATGGCTTTGTTAAAGTTATTTTAATTTAATTCGCTCTTTACTTGGTATTATTTTTCCATTATTATCTAAGAATGAGAAAATTTGTGTGGCACTATTTCTCAGAACGGTGACTCACTTTTTCAAGAAGATATACTACATTGTTTTTAAAAGAAAATACTTTTTTTAGCCATTTTTTTGTTCTGTGTTAATCGTATAAAAAACATGAACTCTACTGTTATGGGCATACACCATGGGGCAAACATCTAGTGAAGTGATTATGGAAATTGAGTACCTTCGGGATGCATGCTCTAATGCGAAGTTTTTTTATTGTTAGCTTCTCATGCCTTGTGATGTGAAAACATATTGTCATGTATATAGGAATGCATGAGACAATAAAATCCTTATAATGAGTTTATTTTAGATGAGAATGCATGAGACAGGAAACTATCAAAAAACTTGTATGACTAATTCTTACTTCCTAAATCTCTTCTTTAGTTGCCGCTTATTGAGTGATGCAACGAACAACTTGTTCTTTTTAAGTAATATAATATTATTAGAAAATGCAAAATATAATGTAAAGCTTGAAATTATTTTGAATTTTGTCTTTTGTATATTTTTATTTTTTATAAATTTGCCACCCCCAAAGAATTAAGGTTGGTTTCTCCCCTGGATGAGGTGAACTTTCAGATTGGTATATTTAAGAAGTTGAAGGAATCAAAATTGACAAACATATGATATCATATGACATTGGTCTTTACTTTTTAGGAAATTGATTGATAATTAAATTATTAGCTAGCTTATGATATGATATTCTATTTTTTAGCAGAAAGGAATTAATCGTCACTAGAATGATGATTATAGATTAACATGAGCTATATTATATTATCCAATGGCTAAAAATGGATGAAATAAATGCTAAGGGATAAATATGCATATCAATACATGATCATATGCTTCTTCCTTTTGCAATATTGAATGATTGTAAGAGATTACCACTTTGCCTTGGATGCCACCAATCTATTTTGTATAGCACCTTAGTCCCATTGCTAGTTTTTGCTATTCTTTTCACCAAGAACTGGTTATCCTAATATTAGAACATCAAGAGAGGTCATGGCTTCATCAATCTCATAGTCCAAAATGAAGGCTTGGATGGCTTTTATATTTTCCGCATTGGCCACTTAATGGTTCTCCATGTAAGTGGACAAGTCCATCTAATAAGCACTATCCCTGACCTTCAAGATTTTGGCTTGTTTCTTACCGTATTCTTATTATTTCTAACAAGAAAGAAGAAGATGATCTATTATTTTTCATGTTCGGTACAGAGTACACATAGGTGTCTATATATAGATAATAGACAAGACCTTGTACAAGCTCAGACAATAAGATAATGCCATCTGTAAAGGTAAATAAGTGTTATTGTAATTTGTGTTCTAATACAAATTGAAGGCTTGAATGGCTGTTATATTTTCCACATTGGCCACTTAATGGTTCTCCATGTAAGTGGACAAGTCCATCTAATAAGCACTATCCCTGACCTTCAAGATTTTGGCTTGTTTCTTACCGTATTCTTATTATTTCTAAAAATAATCTTTAAGTACTAAAATTTTAGTTTAAAAAATAATAAGAAAGTCATCCCAACTAATCCTTTATGTGGAGAGCATATGCTCCCTTTCTTCAAAATATTTTCGTATCTAGAATTTTAAATTTATTTATATAACATCTTAAATTTAAATTTAATACATACGAATTAAAAAAAAAATTAATAATATTTTTTTTCATACTATTTAAAATTTTATCTGTTGCGCAGTCATCACATCGTTTTACTATTATTTTTTTAATTTATAGGTGCGATGGCCGACGTCGAGGCCGCTGGACAGCGGACACCAAAACAAACAACAGGACAAGTGTCAAAAAATTATCTCACTTATCCATTTGAAATATATTTTTTAGATTTTTTACAGCCATTTCAATAAAAAAGAAAAAACAAATTATCTGCATAGATAAAATCTTTTTAACATTTTCTTCGGCCTCAAGGAACCAGCCAGAATAATAAAATAGAAATTAAATCTAACAGATAAAAAATATGTAAATGATACAAAATTTTAATATATTTATATATTTAATATGTAATATTTATATTAATATTTTAATCCCAAATAAAAAAAGTTACCCCAAAATATTGAAATGTAATGTGATTTAATTCATTTAAGTTCCACAAATTTCAGAATTTTCAGACATCAGCGGCTATATTAAAAAAAAAAATCAATATTTACAGAACAGACGGAATCTGATGCAGCGCTCATGGATATATCCGGTCACACAACAGAAATAAGCCTAAAAAAGTGAAAAAAAAATAGAGGAAAAAAAAGGAAATTAGGAGAAAAAAAGGTCCTTATTTCCGCTGAAAACCCTAGCTATCCCTCAGAGCGGGGGCCCTGAGGACGAAGATCCTGCAAAGGGGGTTCAGATCAGTGAATCCGCAACCTCAGATCCGAGATCGTCAGCCTTCGACATCGCGGAGAGACGGCTCGGCTGGGGATGAAACGATGCTCGGCGGCGCTGCTGGTGCGACGAAGGCCGGATCAGAGCGGTAAGAGCGCGTTTCACCCACTCGCCCTCCACTGCCCCGATCCGGACCAACGAGTTGGTCATCGCCGATCGCCTGGCATTCAACCGGTTCGACGGAGAAGAAGCGGCGTGTGGGCGGCGGGAGGATGAGGAACCTTTGTGGAGGCTGCAGCGGAAGGATCCAGGGTGTGTGGTGGGCGAGCACATGCAGGTCTTCCTCAGCGTGGCAGCGGAGGAGATCGGGCCGCGCTTGGCGGCGATGGGGTCGACTGAGCGGCCGGAAGAGGATCCGACAAGATTAACGCGCGTAGGGGAGTCAGAGCGCTTGTGGAAGAAGTCGGCGGAGCGGGAGGAGAAGGCGGAGGTCGGTGAAACCGCGAAGGCGGAGGTGGATGAAGAAGCGAAGGCGGAGGTGCCGGTAGTGGGTGAGGAGTAGCGCCCGCATCCTCCGACGCGGTCGCCGGAGAAGAACCGGTTAGACGGCGAGATGGGGTATGCGAAGCCGCCGGATCCGTGGAGTCTCAGACCGCTGGATCTGGTTCTTGAAGTTGCAGCCATGGGAATTTGGATTCAGTACACAGAAAGTCGCTACTTCTGAAGAAGAAATCAGAGTTAATTCAGTTGAACTTTTGTCAAACCTAGCTTAAGTCTGGGCGTAGTATTTATAGCGAAATTTGAGGGTGGTTAGATGCCGTAAATAAAGTGAAGTCCAGGGGTACTCTTTATTTAGACCACAACTGAAGGTATCCGTAGACCTGGGTTAGTTTAACCGTAGTTTGAAATTTTTAAATAAGTGAACCGAACTGTAGGGGCTAATGCTTAGAGGATAAGGGGAATTTATTTCCACCTGTCATATTTCACCTTTGACGTCACCCGCTATAATACAAACATTTGTGAGGCCCAGCTTGGTGGTGGGAATGGGGGCCTGTCGGAAAAATTTTTTACTCCAAAATATTACGGCCAAACCGTGGGCTGGGAGCTAGCTGCGGCCACTAGATTGCATAACGGTCAAGCTATGTGCGCCACGTATGGGCTATGGTGGAGTTTGCCATTTTTATAATAATAATTCTGAAAAAATTTTCCCAAAAAAATATTTAGAAAATTTAGGAAATTAGATTTTGGATAATTTTTTATTTTCTTAATTGTGTTTAGCATGACATAAATTTAATATAAAAAAATGAATTAAAATCTAATTTTAAAATTATTATAAAATAAATCTGTTAGCTTCTACTCTTTTGATGATCTTTTGTATAAAAGTGTAAAAATATTAAATTCAAATTTATTGGCAGATGGTATTTCCTAGATAAGAAATGAGAGAATAAAACGAGAGATGAGAAGAGAATGTAGGAGAAAAATTGAATGAAGATTTATCAGTTGTGACATAATCATGACCTAATAAAATATTTTCATAAAATGAAGATTTATTAGTTGTGACATGATCATGTTAGATATGCATTAGTGATTTTCAAATAAGGAGTGACTATGCATGAAATCATTGGCTGACTTCATTCGAGCTGGTTCAATTCTAGTGAATAACTTTGTCGGGTGTCTTGGACAATCTTGCCTAAGTGGCCTTTGGGGTTGAATATATTGGTGAATTACTTTTGTAATTTTGACCTACCCTATTTAGTCAAATGAAATCCTAATTTTCTAATTTATTACTCTGATCATACAGTACAGAACTAGGTTCATACTGATTAATTATTTAAACCCTCATTCAAATCGGATTGTACGATATTTGGTCATGCAATACAATGAACTATTTTAAATTAAGGATCATCTAGGATGAATCAGATTTAATCTAGGGAAGCCTTCATTTAATCAAATTGCATGACTTAAATCGTACAGTATTATATCCAATCAAGATTTGTTCCTGATTTGATTTCTTGATCAATGGACAAATTGTACAAAATTCTTTTAATAATCCTACATAATGAAATATATTGTATAGTATGATTATGTCAAAATTTAAGTTTTGAATTTGCATAATTTAAGTAACAATTTTTGAAGTTCAATGAAAATACCTGTTTTATGAAAATATTTGATCATCTTATAAGATTATAAGTCATAAATTATGATTAGTTATTTTGAAAATTAATTTATTTTATTTTTAAAATACTTAATCATACAGTATTATGTAATAAAGAAAATCAACTGTTTAATTTTCTCCTCCCTACTTATGTATTTGTACTTTCTTTAGTTTCTTGAATGGCTTGTATTGTCATTTGTGTAGCTATTTGTTGCCTATAATTAGAGGCTATATGTTGTAATATGATATGATTAAGAAATAAAGAGTTTGAGTTTTGATGCTCTCCCTCTCTCATTCCCTCTCCCAAGAAGCTCAAGAAGGAAGTGCTTCCTCTTATTGAAGATCCTAAAAATACAACCAATACAAACTGACTCAAGAAGAAGCAAAATTACATACTCTTTTATTACAGCTTGTGATTAGACTCGTTGCATCATTTCTTGAGTTATTTTCTCTTGCTTGGCTCGATGTATGCTGTACTTGAAATATTAGTAGCACACAAAATAAATTATATATAAAATGCAAATGATCATAAATGATCAAACCAATAATATTTGTAATCGTTAAAACACTAGGTCGAGCTCATGGGTTTCAATAAATTTATTTTACAAGGAGATAACAAGAAGCTTTTGAAGACTAGTCACATTTAGGTTTTGGTTCATGTTTTGATCCTTTGGTGTTGTGCATAATCACTAGTTGATAAAGGTAGTATTAGGAGGGCTTGATGGGTGTTTTGTGGTGGAGGTTTTGTTAAATGAAGGGTAATGTTGGCTCTCATTAAGAATGGTTGCATAAGAGACAACTGGTTTGTTGGGTGATTTGGTGAAACATGAAGAGACAACTTGCTACCATGCCAGAGAAAAAGAGAAGAGAAAGGGAAGAGAAGAGAGGAGAGAGAAAGGAAGAGAGAGGATGTGATATCCAAAGTTCAGATTTTATTCGTCGGGCTGGTTAGGGGTTTCTTAGAGCACGAGGTAGATTTTTGAACCCCTATCTCTGATTTTAATTCTATTGGTTTTTTAAAAAATTATGTATAAAATGTATTTTTTTCCAGATTTTACAATTTTTTCAACAAATAACTTTTGATATGTTGTATGCTTTATCTCTAACATTTTAACTATACAAAATCAAAATTCCATTGGTTGATTTTTCATATGTAAATATTATTGTATATGAAATGATTGAGGCTTGTCTCGTAATTATAATAATTATATAAAAGTATTAAAATGCTTATGTGAATATCTCTCTGAAGTTGAATTTTGAACAAGAAAAATTCAGTGAGTATAATGTTATACATATAATGTGGCTTCTTACATTCAATTCATACATTATTTTAGTACTTCATTGAATTTATAATTGAATTATTGTTACAATTGTATTTGCATTATTCATAGCATGTTTTTTGGAGGTGTTCTGATATGTGGATAAGTGCATTATCTAAAATGTTTAAAGGGTGGTCCTTTACATGTTATAGCCTTGCCCCATCTTCCTAGTGTGGATGATGGAGGGATTTTGACCCCACTTGCTAAAAGTGAGTGTGAGAGTTTATGGAGCACTATTCTGATCTGATTTTGGACCCACTTGCTAGATACATATGTGGGAGGTTAAAGGAAGGCATATGTGAAAAAGGATTTATAATTATGTATCAAGACATGCATTTTATCATTGTACTATATATAGTAATATTTTTATCAATTAAGCATAAATAATATCCCAAACTCAATGTTAATAATCCCCAAAATTCTAAATGAATCCTATTGAAATGTGAGTGTCAAGTGCAAATGAATCTTTGATACTAAATATTCTATGATGATAACAAGTATTTTGTGTTATATATACATCTAAACTCTCTTTGCAAGTGGCTTCGAAAGTATTAAATAAGAACTTTAAAATCAAGTAAACTATGAAACTCTAGAAAATTTTGCTATGTTGATACTTTTTTTTATCTTATATAATTCATTGTCTTTATTTTAATTAATTAACAACTATGTTTGATATCTGTGATGGTTTTAGGGAAAAAAGTATACTGAGTTGGTTATGCCCATTCTATGATATTTTTTTGATATTTTTCTGGAAGGTAAAGGCCAAGCAAAATAGAAAGGTATAAATATATGATCTTCTTAGTCTAAGTGATCGAAGTATTACTTTGCAACCCAAGTTTTACATTTTGCATTCTGATGAAATGCAACAAGTTGTGTTTCTTTTATTATTTTGATTATATATTTACTCTTGTTATTTTTGTTGATGGTTGAGTTATTAAAGCAAATGTTTATGACTTCAATAATTCCATTAGATCTTAGGGCATCATATATGCTTCCATAATTTTTTAATGACCATTAACAAAGATTCATAGAATGACCTTTTCTTGATGGATTAATCGTTTAGAGAAAGTTCCTACTCCTTAGAACCTTGGCTGGTGATATAGGTAATCAGAAGAGGAATGCTTCCAGCAAGCAGCGAATAGAATAGCAAAATAGAGCAAGGAATGCTTAGCAGCAAATAGATAGTATATTTCTTCTTTTCTACCGAAACTCCAAAATAGTACAACTATTTGTATAAGGGCTAGAGACTAGTAAAAGCAAAGCATAACAGAAAGCTAATAGTACTAGCAGCAACTAAAATGGAAATGTAAGTAGTGGAGGGTTAACTACAAAGCAATAACAAGACTAAAGCATAATTGAAAGGTATAATACTCCCTTCGGCTAAAATACTCCCTGTAGCTTAAGATGTTCAACATCAGGAATCCCCCGCTGGTGAAGAGTCTGCTATCTCAGCAGAAATGGATGTTTGTGCTTCGTCAAAGGGATAGTAAGGGTGAATGTCAGCCACATTAAAGGAAGAAGCTATACCAAATTTTGGAGGTAAGTATATAACGTATGCGTTATCATTAATCTTTTGCAAGATGGGGAATGGGCCAACTTTGCGACGACCCAATTTGGAATAGGTTCCCATGGGTAATCATTCACGACGAAGGTGAACCATAACTAGTTCATGTTGACCCTGATTTTGTCAAACTCTTGGTCAAAGGGTTGACTTGGTCAAATTGACCAGGCCATGCCCCAAGACCCCTCCCAATCAACTTAGTGGGTCAAATTAAGTCTGTTGATCCCAGACCCAAACCCTGGGTCAATCTGGTTGACCAGGTCAACTTGGGTTGACCCAAATTGACATAAATCACTATTATTTGATTTCAAACCTAATCTATGGCTTCTAGACTCAACCTCTCAACTCCCTTATATTTCATGGGTCAGACCAAGTTCATTTAGCTCAGACCCAAGTTTTTGGTCAACCTGGTTAGCCAAATCAACCCAAGTTGACCCATTGAGTCCTAATGAGTCTAAAATCAATTTCAAACCAATTTCAAACCTTCTTTGACCCAAACTCCTGCCCCATTGGATCTATTTGGCTAGGTTGACCAAGTCAACCCTTGACTTGGGCAACCCAAATCTCTTTCTGGTCAAAACTACCCATTTAAGTCGATTTAAACCTTCTTAAAGCATTGATTCCAAGGCTATTGCTCCCTTGGTCAAAGGCCCAACTAAATCACTCTTATTTCTCCTTTAATTAACTCTAGATATGATCTAGGTCATCCATCCAAGGCCTAGGTCTATAAATAGGGAGATTTATGATTTCTTAGAGGGCTTTTTTCTA